TGTCTGTTGTAATATTTCTCTTCCCATCACGAATTTTAGTAACTTGAGTTTTCTCTCTCCTCATTAGCATGGCTAAGTGTTTATCAGTTTTATTTACTTTTTCAAAGAATCAACTTTTTGCTTTGTCAGGTTTTTGAGTTGTTTCTTTTGTTTCAATTTCATTGATTTCAGCTCTGGTTTTAATTATTTCTTGTCTTCTGCTATTTTTGATGTTGACTTGTTCTTTTTCTAGAGCTTTGTGATGTAATTTTAAGTCATTTATTTGATGACTTTTTATTCTTTTAATGAATGAGCTCAATGTAATGAACTTTCCTCTTAGCACTGCCTTCATAGTGTCCCAGAGATTTTGATATCTTGTATTGGTGTTCTCATTTACCTCTAAGATTTTTTTTAATTTCCTCTGTTATTTATTCTGCTATCCATTCATCATTCAATAACATATTATTTAGTCTCCAGGTGTTAGAGTAGCTTCTATTTTTTTATTTTATTGTTGATTTTTAATTTCATTAGATTGTGATCAGATAGAATGCAGTGTGGTATCTCTAATTTTTTTTTCCATCCTTTCACCTTCTGTCTGTGGGTGTTTTTTCTTATGAGTCTCTTGAAGACAGCATATTATTAGGTCTTTTTTTTCATTCCAGTCTGCCAATCTTTATCTTTTGATTGATTAGTTTAGGCCATTAACATGCAGGATTATTGAGATTTGATTTGATACATATTCCTAGTCATTTTGGTTTATTTTTTGTTTTTAACTTGACTTGTTTTCTCCTTTGAATGACTTTTCATTTAGTGTAGTTAGTTCCTCCTTTTGCTGATTTTCATTGTTTTGTTTTGTTTTTATTTCCTCCTCATGTAATATTTTGCTGAAAATGTTCTGTAGTGCAGGCTTTCTAGTTGTAAATTCTTTTAACTTTTGTTCATCATGGAAGGTTTTTATTTCGTCATCAAATCTGAAGCTTAATTTTGCTGAACATAAGATTCTTTGTTGGCATCCATCTTCTTTTAGAACTTTGTATATGTTGTTCTAGGACTTCTTAGCTTTAAGGGTCTGGGCTGAGAAATCTGCTGCAATCTGAATTGGTTTTCTCCTATATATAATCTGGTACTTTTCTCTTGTGGCCTTTAAAATTCTATCCTTGTTCTGTATGCTAGGCATTTTCATTGTAGTGTGCCTGGGTATGGATCTATTGTAATTTTGTACATTTGGGTCCTGTGAGCCTGTTATTTGATTTTCCATTTCTTTTTTTAGGTTTGAGAAATTTTCTGATATTATTTCATTGAAAAGATTGGGCATTCCTTTGGTGTATATTTCTGTGCCTTCCTCAATTCTGATAAATCTTAAATTTGGTCTTTTCACGTTATCCCATAATTCTTGGATGTTCTATTCATGGTTTCTTATTATATTCACTTTGTGTTCAGCTTTATTTTCAAGATTATATATTTTGTTTTCATTGCCTGAGGTTCTGTTTTCCAAGTGATTTAGTCTGTTGGTGATACTTTCTATTGGATTTTTAATTTGATTTATTGTTTCCTTCATTTCAAGGATTTGTGTGGGTTTTTTTCCCCCCAGAAGTTTTGTTTTGTTTTTTAGCTCTTCATTGAAGTGATTTTTTGCTAACTGTATTTGTTCTCTGACACCATCCTTTACTTCACAGATCAGTTTAATTATGTACATTCTGAATTCCTTCTCTGATATTTTTTCTACTGTGTTGTCAGTGGATTCTAACCATTTTGGTTCAGGGTGCTTTCTTCCCTTGTTTTTTCATGTTGTTGGTGTGTCTTCTAGCAGTGTGGATTCAAGGTATTATGGTTTCTACCCTATAGATTTATAGTGCCCCTATAGGTTTCCATTACTTTGCCTTTAAAGGGAAGATCAATATTAACAGTTACCAGTGCAAACAGTGTGCAGCCTTAAACCAAATAGTAGCTATTAAGACATTTACAGTTTTGTCGCAATAAACAGAAATGATGTATTCAGTTATTGTCTATAATATATACAATAGGTTTGCCAAAGGGTCTACAATTTAAAGATAGAGAGAGAACAGGGTAGTGTAGGATGTGATGTTTATGAGGTAGATGGGGGGAGAAGATAGAAGTATTAGATCATTGGAAGAGTGAAAGAGGAATCAGTAGAAGTTGGCTGTGAGCAGGAGAAAAGAGAGTAAGACAATCCAGGGAATGAAATAAGTGAGAGGAAAATGTAGAGAAGGAATAAAATAAGAAAAAAAATTAAAAATATTCAATAATGCAAAACTAAAGTGATATACAATAAAACTGTAATATACTACTCAGACATCCCAGTCCTCAGTAGCTTGATGTATGAAAATTACTTGGTTTCAAAACTAGTGGGGATGTGAAAACAGAAAAGAAAAGAAGAAAAATCTCAAAAGAAAATTGAACAATTATTTCTGTTGGAGTTCAATAGTTTCTCTGCTTCCCTTCTCATCCAATAGGTAGAGTTATGTGGAGTTTGCTGGTATCTCTACCCTCAGGAAGGTGAGGGTTTCTAGGGTGGTAGGGTGAGTCTTGGAGGCGGAATTCCTCAAGGTGCAAAATGGCAATTTCCAGTCTACATTGGAAGACTGCACCCAGGAGTCTCTTTTGGGGTCCATTTGTGTGATATGGGAGCCTGATCTTAGCCCCTTATGTTGCTTGCAGACCTCACAATTCCTGGTCTCTAATTTAGTCTCTAAACTGTTTCCCTCCCACTCCCACCTTTTCAACTTCCCAATCAGGCACCTCTCTCTCCAGAGGTCCTAAGGGCTGAGTGCTGGGGTCTACGTGCCTGTTGTGGAGAGCTGTTCTGTATCAGGCAGATCAGGACTAGGTGTTGAGAGCTGCAGGCTGGCCACATAGCTGCAAGCTCTAGGCTGGGTTGGTGGCCCTGGATACCCAGTGGATGCCAGACTGGTTGGCTGGGCAAGCCAAGAGCAAGATGCCCTCACACCCTCTTCCAATCTATGGACCCCATGCAAGGCGCTCTCCTGCCTCTCCAGCAAGGTGGTGTCTATTAGCACATCTAGCAGGGAGACCTCAGATGTTACCAAGCCTGCAGGTGCTTTGATGATGGTATTCTAGGCCCTGGCTGGCATCCCTATATAGAAGCGGCCATGTCCCTAGATGATGGCAGCAGCAGCGGCAAATCTGTAGGTACCTTGATGTTGGGCTTTCAGGCCCTGGAGAGTGTCCCATGATGTAGGCTGCCCCAACTCAAGATGGCAATGTTAGTAGCAGAGGTAACCCAATATGGTGGCTTAGGTGTCCCAAGATAGAGGCAACTGCTTTCAGGAATGGGTCAGTGAGGGTGGCCATGTGGTGACAGTGGGTGGCCTTGGTGCTGCGGGGAAGTAGGGGTTTGCAGAGGTGTTTTCTCCCAGCCCTACCTGGTGTCCCAAGGTGGAGGCTACCACATCAAGATGGCTATGATGGTAGCTGCAGTGTCTCAAGTTGGAGACAGCCACCTTGGGAGATGAACCCGCAGCCGTAGGCGGCTCAGTGATGGTTGTGGCCATGTTGGTAGATGGGGAGCCTGCAGCGCAGTTGGGTGGGCCTGCACTGCACAGTCGGTGTGTCTGCGTTTCATGTAACTAACTTCTCTATACATTGGTTGTGTGACATCTTTGGGAAAATAGAGAAATTAGTCATTTTCTGTATTCTCTGTTTTATATGATGAATATTTCTTAAAGAAGGCTAATATAGGAAATTGATCCTTTTTTGAAATCAAACCTAACACATCTCAACTGGATATTTAAGATAGTCTTTCCCCCTGCATGGTGTTGGAACTATTTAGTCCAAATCTCATTCCCATTTTAGATCTCATTCATATATCATTTTCCTTTGTTAATATTTCTCTTCTTCCTTAGGCAGATTACAAGATAACTGATTCAGTTTTGCTTAATTACAATCACATTCTAGGTCTGTTCTCTTATATCCACAGGCCCAAACATTCCCATTTGCCTTAGCACCTTTACAGAAAAACTCTTAGCTAATCAATTTCATTATATATTTATTTTTTAAATGAGTTTCATTTTTATAGGATAACTTCTAAATTGGGAATGTGAGCTCATCCTGCTCCTTCAGACTCCTGCCTTGTATCTCTAAATCTAGAAAGGAGTCATTTTGTTTTGAAAAATAACATAGTAGAGTACTGCTACATTGCCTCTATTACAAATTATTAAGACAGGTAAATCTTTTGGAAACTGGTTTTTGATTAATATGAATAGAAGTATTATATTTCTAGTTGTTCAGTGTTTCACATTTTATTAAGTATTGTTAAGCATATAAATCTATTTGCAGATATTTTAATATTAAGCATTAGTAGGTAGGTGTTGTTGTTTGGTGGACATGCAAGAGGCAGAGAGGAAAAATAATGCTTAGTATTGATAATTGAGAAATGACTTAATAACAGCTAAGGAAAAAAGATGAAGAGTTACTTCAATCTGCAGGCCAGGCATACATTGTAATGTTTATTTTAGTAAGTATCATAAGCAATGCTTTTTCCATATGTGTTATATAAAACTTTTTTAGACTGGTGTTCGTTTCTTAAAGATATAGTTGACATTTTCATCCACATTTATTCATCTGTAGGTTGTAACATACAGTCTAGTGGCATTGAATCATCTGCTTATTAGAACAATATGTCACATTGTGTGTTACCTTTAAAAAATAAAGTAAAATATGAAGTATTTATAGTTCTTCTTCAGGGTAAATGTGTGCTGTAGATAATGAGAGTATAAGTAGGAATATAACGTAACTATGGCTTATTTCTGCCTATTAGATACTTTTGAGGAAATTTCTGTTATTTGTCCTTTACCTCAATTGAGAATAACAATAGTTTGTGTAGAAAGTATACATAGAAACTTAATCTTTCTGTGTGTCCCCTTTTTGAATTTTGTTTTATACTCCTACTTCACTTTATAATATAGTTGAGTAATAAAGTAATTTTAGGTTAGTGTAATAACAAATATATTTTAAAGATTTTTTAAAAATCTGATACATAGGCGCCAAGAGTAGAAGCACAAGTTCTTCTGGGATCTTTGGTTTGCTTTCCCAACTTGTATTGTGAACTGCCTGCTCTCCATCCCAATATTCCAGATATTGCTGTGTCTCAGTTTACAGATGTGAAGGTAAGAAATCAGATACAGTTTGTAGCATTTAACTGATTTTATAACATAAAATATATGCAATAAAATTTGTTTCTTTTTGAAATCTACTGAGTTGTTGAACAACATTAACCAGCTAAATCTCCCAGAACAAAAACTGGAATGTTAATTAGGATTATTGCCTTTTTATTTTTATTTTTCTGGATGTGTTTAAATTACTTTGGTATCTTTATCTCATTTTTGAACCTATTCATGTTTGTTTCTTAGGATTCATTCATTCACTCACTGAGCATTTATCAAAACATCCTATGAACCATATGTGGTGTTGCTAATGTAAGGCTTCTGGAATTGAGATGGCAAACTATACCTACATATTTGACTCCCTCTCCCAATTTCTCAGCATGTAGTATCAAACAAAGTAATGGAAAATTCTGTACTGCTATATGAAACTTTGGAATTGAGGTAGTAATCCTATGTACCTAAATGTTACAGGACCTGGATAGTAGTTGGTATAATATTTTTTTTTTCTTTGTACTAGTAAGTGAGCCCATATGTACTCCACCATTGAGTTATATCCCCAGGCCTTTTTATTGTTTATTTTGAGACAGGGTCTCTCAGTGTTGCCCAGGGTGATCTGGAACTTGCAACCCTCCTGCCCCAGCCTCCCCAGTAGCCATGATTACAGGCATGTGTCACCATAACCCTTCAGCCTGTGTAATATTAGCAGTGATTATATAGTTGCAAAGAGAACCTCTCCAGATCCCAGATAGTAATCCTTTAAAAAACAATGTGCCCAGGCAGGAGCAGTGTATTAAATACACATGTTAAAAATTTCAGATAGGAGACTCTCAAAAGGTTGTTCTGTGCCTCTGTAGAGTTCAGCCTCTATTGAAAGGGTAAAGTGTGTGACATGATCAGCATCCTTAGTCCTCTGAATTTAGTACTTCTTGTGTGTGTGTGTGTTGGGTGGGGGGGGTACTGGCAGTTTAACCCTAGGTTTTCCTACCACTGAGCTACATCTCAGCCTCCCCACCCTTTTTTTAAATTTTGAAACAGGGTCTCACTAAGTTCCTGAAGCTGGTATCAAACTTGTGATCTTCCTGTGTTAGCCTCCCAAGTTGCTGGAATTACAGGCATGTACCACTACACATGGCTAGACTCAGTGATTGTTAAACCTAAGTAGAGGGGAGTGCTGTGAAAACCTCTTTTAGTAAGGATAAAAAAAATCAGTGCTCTGAACCCACAGTATGCTGTTTAGTGAATAATTCAATCACTGTCAAGACCTATCTCTATCTGAATGCTTACATATAAATTCTAAAGGGCTTAACAATCCTGTGCCTGTCACAGTTATTCCCAGGTAGTCTCTATGATTGATCTTAATTTGTTCTCAGAATTAGAAAGGTTGAGAAAAAGACACTTTAGCTCCTCAGGGGTCATGCAGATGATTTTTATGTGTTGTCATGCAGATGATTTTTATGTGTTGCTTATATTTTCCTTAGAATCCATATTTCTCTTCATAACATTTATCATACTTGTAATTTCTTACTCAGTGCTTAACTTCTATTTTAGACAAATACCATGAAATCTTTTTTTTAAATAATGTTATTGTATTTTTTGTACATTTACTTTATTTTTATGTGGTGCTAAGGATCGAACCCAGGGCCTCACACATGCTAGGCAAGCGCTCTGCCACTGAACTACAACCGCAGCCCCCATGTGATCTTATATACTATTATATCCTCATGACCTAACACTTTTTGATATATAGCATATACTCATTAATGTGAACAAATGAATTTGACTTACACGTACAATCAAGTGGCTCAGTGCAAATTTACAATGACACTTAACAGAAACTACATGAATTTACCTTAGCTTTTCAAGGTTTAATAGTTTGTTTTATTTTCAGAAGATCCTGAAGGTCAAGGATCGATAATTGTTTTAATTTTCTCTACCTATTGAGATGATTATATGATTTTTATCCTTCATTCTGTTAAAGTGGTATATTATGTTTATTGATTTACATGTGTTGAACAATTCTTGTAGCCATAGAATATATCCTACTTGGTAATGGTGTATGATTCTTTTATTGTGCTGTTCAATTTGGTTTATTGTTATTGTTTTGAGGATTTTTGCATTTGTATTCATCAGAGATAGTGGCCTATAATTTTTTTTTCCCTTGTTAATACCCTTGTCTGATGTTGGCATCAGGGTAAATGTGACCTTATAAATTGAGTTTGGAAGTATCCTACCTGTTTAGTTTTCTTGGAAGAATTTGAGAAGGGTTAGTATTAATTCTTTAAATATTTGGTATAATTCATCAGTGAAACCATCTGTTGGCGGCTTTTAAATGCTATTTCTCAAAGCTTAAAAAAGATGTTCATGACTTTAAGATATTAATTCTGCTTTAATTATCTTTCTTATAGTGAGCCTTTATGACTTTTCCAATCAGGAAAAAAGGTTATTTTTTAACATATTCTTTTGGTACAAATTTCATAAATTGTTTTATTAGCTACTTGTATAAATAACATTGGATTCTTTATTAAAAGTATTTACATGAGAATAAATTGTTCTCTTAACTATTGTGTCTCTAATACCTCGTGCAGGGCCTAGCCCAAATTGGCCACCTAATAAATATCTGTTGACTAAGTGAATGAAAATCTTACTATTTGCTATTAACTATTTTCCTTTATTTTAGGAACTCATAATCAAAACTGTATTAAGCTCAGCAAGGGATGAGCCCTCTGGTCCTGCACGGTAGGTCAGGTATTCTTAGATTAACGTTTACTACAACTATTCTGTGTTTGAAATCTCATTTTAGAAGTTGATTGAATTTTTATAGCAGTTCAGGTTGTTTCAGACACACAAAAGCCATTCTGAACTACAAGTTTAAATTATTTGAATGATTAAATACTCTCACTTTTTTTTTCATGATTACATACTAATCTTCCTTCATTAAAAAATAAAAATGAAAACCTGTTCATCTTTTTCAGTTATTTAACCCTGTGTCTGGTATATGTAAAATGAGTTATTTTGATTTATTTAAGTACATTTTGTGTTCTCTTCAGATTATATTTATCATTGTGTTCTTATATAATACCTTGAAATACAACATAGGCTCAATGGGTGTTTGTTGAATTGAATTAAAACAAAATATTTTTATGGTAGACTGTAATATATCTAAAAATAGTATGTTTTAATATTCATATGTATTGATCATGATTTGGGGGGGGATTGATGCTGGGAATTGAACCCAGGAGTGCTCTACAGCTGAGCTATATCCCCTACTCTTTTAATTTTTTATTTTATTATTTTGAGATAGGGTCTTACCAAGTTACTGAGTGTCTTGCTAATTTGTGAAGGCTGGCCTTGAAATGCAATCCTCCTGTCTCAGCTTCCCAAGTTGCTGGGATTATTGGCATTTCCCACTGTACACAGCTGATTATGATTTCTAATAGAATATAAGCAACAAGATTTTTAATTTTTCCTTTTTATGTCTTAATCATATAAAACTGACATTTTCTGTCTTGCTAAATAAACCTTTCCTCAAAAAGAAGAGACTTAAATTAGGAGGTTGCCAGAATACACTATGTTCCCTTGCTTCCTTAAAATTTCAAGTTATATCTTATATTTCTTGATGCTAATTTTAATGTGTGTCATTAGTTTCAACATTAGTCCTTCTCCTCTGACTTTACCTCTGTGAAGCTTCCTTTTCCAATCATGTATATATTTGTTGATCCAAGATTCAAAAGGTATAGATCATGGCTTTGACCATTCAGATTCTAATTTATTTTTATTTTTTGAACATATATTTTTTAGTTGTAGGTGAACACAGTCTCTTTATTTTATTTTTATGTGGTGCTGAGGATCGAACCCAGTGCCTCATGCATGCTAGGCGAGCGCTTTACAGCCTCAGCCCTCTAATTCTAATTTAAATTTCTTTTTCTAGCAATTAAAAATGATGTAACATGAACAGTTTAGTTACATGAAACCACTCCATTACAAGTCTTTCTCACTTGGTAGCCAAGTTAACTAAAAACAAACCTCTTTGAGCAAATTCTTTTACCCTGATCTCATTCAAGTTTACAAGAATTTTCCCCAATATTTGTTTCATTTAATTCTCATCAAATTGGGAGAGATTGATACATCACCTTCTCCCAATTTTGTTATTCAGTAACTGATGCTTAATAAACTAATACTTATTAAACCTAAAGTTAACATTTATTAAGCCCTTTCTGTGTGCTAGGTGTGTTCTAGACACTTTGTATTTATTATGGCAGTGCATTTCATAATAACTCGAGAAATATACAGTTTTTACCTTTTGATTTATAAATACAGAAACTGGAGCCCAGAAAATTTAGATAACCTGCTCTATCAGATAAGGCAGAGCCATAATTATTATCCTCACAGTTTGTCTTAAAGAATAATTATTAGATGCATAATTTTGTTGATTCTTTTTAGTTATACATGACAGTAGAATCCATTTTGACATAATTATTAAAGCATGGAATATATCTTGTTCTAATTCAGTCTCTAGTACTTCCCCATCCCCTCCATCCCAGCCATATCCTTCTCTCTTCCCTCTACTGATCTCTTTGCCATTTACCCACTTTTTTTTAGTTCATAATGATATTATAATTTATTTATTTTTAATTTTTTATTACATTGTACACAAAGGAAGCACAGCTTCTTCTTCTGGCTGAACATGATGCAAAGTCATATAGTAGTGTGATCATACATATATATAGGGTAATAATGTCCATCTCATTCCACCATCATTTTTACCCCCTCACTCCCTCCCCACTCCTCCCTCCCCTCTTGCACAATCCAAAGTTCCTTCATTCTCTCCTCACCACCTCCCATTATGGATTAGCATCTGCTTATCAGAGAAAACATCCAGCCTTTGGTTTTTGGTTTTGGCTTATTTTGCTTAGCATGATATTTCGCCACATTACCTGCAAATGCCATAATTTCATTCTTTTTTAAGGCTGATAAATATATATATACACATTATATATATATATATATTTTTTAAGGCTG